AATTTGTGAATAATTCCCCGTCAGTACTTCCGATTCATAGTTCACCCAATCTCTCGTAAAAGTCCACTACAGCGATTAAGAAACAGTCGTTTCTTTCTGTGGTGCCTATTCCCGAGTCATGCAATACAGCATGCTCCGCTGCTGATATAGCATGATTGAAGTCCGATCGATTTCCAACTAGCCCTCTGGAACCAGAACTAGTAAAAAAACTCTCCACGATCGCCGCTCGGGACCTGGTGATATTTGTACAGGGGTGTTCTTATCCGCGTGTGACCCTAGCAGGCATCCGCTCAAATCCTCCCCAAGCAAATGTAACATGAGCGCTTATTGGGGTAGATAATTCGTATAGGCTGTACGGGACATTCAGAGGTCCTACAACCCGAAGGCTCTTGTAGTGCTGTTACAGACATCAAACCCACCTTCACGGTGAATTGCTCAACAGTGATATGCCAGATATCGTCTTGGGCGCGATGATAAATACATCATAGATGACCAAAGCACAGTGAGCTCAGAGACGTAGAGAAATCGGTGATTTGCTGGCAAGACCTGCTTGCGCCGCCAGTTGCGATATGTTAGACGACAGTCTCAATGGACGAAGGATACTGGATAGCTTGACTGACCTCCAGCTGCTGTGACATTCAAAGTGTATGGGCTTTGCACGCAGTGCTCGGGCTTGGATAGAAAAACACAGGCTTAGGAATCAAATCACCAAGCTTCTGTCTAACACGGAAAAGACAAACAATCCTGATAGCATGCAGCTCCGTGTATGTCCGAGTGGTTCCCGCTCGCTCGAATATGTCGATAAGCTGAGCAACGTGGAGAGGAAGAGGAATCAGGGGGGCTCTATCAGACGTGGTTCTTGGGTCATGGGTCCTCTCTTTCGTTGGCCGTCCTCGGTTTCGTCCATCGATTCGAAGCTGGCATGGCTATTGTTAGTTGATTCGGCTAGAGATGACGGGACTTTCGCCTCACATTCTCCTTGCAGGCAGACTCGACGAACAATCTCGCCGTGTGCGAAAATACGGCTCTAGCAAGACAAAGCATCGGCTCCTCCCGGTGTCTTCGGATTTTTAGGCTCGAAAGACGCTAAGCGCCAACAATGATGGTCACCCACTGGACGCCAGGGATCCAAGTCGCAAGTAGGCCATCCTATGAGAGGGTCCAAATGCCGGGAGACAGACACTGCTATGCGCTCCATTGGGTCTGCATCAGGTAGACATACCAACGCATGATCTGATGAACCAAATCGACTGGGAGAAGGTCGAGGTAGCGACTCGTCGATGCCACCAGTAGTCATGTGGAAGAAACAGAGCATACGATGGTATTGGTGTAGGGGAGGTCGAGCAGATAAGAGATTTGCTCGCTTGCATTCGAGTGATGGGAATCTGATTTAAGATCCGAGTCAGCAAGTATTGATCCAGCTGGACGAGGTATTGTACTTTACGTTATTCATAAAGAATCCGAGTGTATGCTTGAGACAGATAACCAACAAGATTCATAATCATACCTGCTTACCAACTAGATCACTGCCAATTCAGTTCTGCGATGCAGTCACCAATATGCCATGTTGTATTCAGGTTCGTCGCACTTTCCGGCTGTCGCTTCGAGAAGCCGCGCTGGATGAACCGACAAGTTCACAACACGGCAAAGGCACATGACGAACTCACGTGTGACAAAAAATTGTACAGTTGTATTAGGAGACCTCTAATGCAAAGTACTGAAGAGTTTCCGAGTCATGAGTTGACAGAGTGGCATTCTCCTTCGCCTGGCCAACAACAGCTTCGTGCAGGTTGAGGCACTCCGCTGTTCATGGTGTGAAGGCGGTGAGGAGGGGGAAGACGCGATGGCGCGCGTCGCGCCCTGGGTCTTATCTGACTCGGCGGGAATAGGTTACACGCCACAAGAATTGTCGCGGTCAGCGATGGGCTGCTCCTACTGTACAACGGCATAGAGATGTCAGTGGTGTTTGTGTCTCCGGCACAGAGTTGGCACAAATCATTGGACCCGGCGCTAGAGGCGCGATATTCCACTCACTTCATCGTGGACAACGAACGTCTGGAGCTTATGCGTCCTGTTGTTTGCCCGCGGCCTTAGTTTGCAGTATTTCACATAGGACATGTTGCATGGTTTGAAGTGACAGGGCCAGAAATGGCGTGTAAGCCATGACCCTGCGCGGAGCACTGACGGAGAGCTGGTTCGGACTCAGTCTGGTGCGCTGTCAACGGTTTCCTGTCCATCGTTAGCTTGTCGATCGGCGAGGCAATGCATGACTCACATGTTCTGAAAGACGACACGGGAAAGGGCACCGTGGCTGGTGTATATTGGATGGAATGCATGGATCTTTGTTTCGCATCGTCTTTGAAGTCAGTCTAGTCTCGGATAGGGTCGCGCTGAGACAGACTTACCTCGACCGCTCTTTTGCATCGATATATTCAGGAGCGGACAGTGGTCGGCTGCTATGGTGGACAGATGTTCGCATAG